AGTGACACAAATGTCTCAGTGTCTTTTTTTGTAGGTTCCCATACAAAATGGTCCTTCTGTGTCACTTAAGCTGTCGTCACAGTTATTGCCACTGGAGGGAGCATCGTTACAGGTTATGTTCTTACAATATACTGTACACCGAAAGATCTGTGATCTGAAGTGCCAGGATGTGGCAGCCATTTTGAATTCACACAATAGCAAAGAACAAAAGTGGAGGGTTTTTTTTTGTTTGTTTGTTTGTTTGTTTGTTTTTCTCAAAGGGATGTATGATTTTGTGAAAATGTTATAAAAATAGCATGTCTTTACCAATACTGTGACACTCTTTCCTCACTGTTCTTCTAGGTATAGTTTGGAATATGGATCGTTTATGCACTTAATTGTACCAGTTTAAAGGGCAACACATGCAAACGGAACAACTCACATCGTTGCTTGAAGCTGTTTATGTCTTTACCATTCTGCACTTTGGTCTTAATAGTTATGCAAGAAGTGAATTTCACTGGTCCACCACCATTTCTTATGGTGTTGTTTCTATCAACAACCCCCAAGTTGTCACCATGGTCTATTATTTTTTTTCCATACAAATTCAAGAAATATAATTCAGATTACAGTTAAACTGGACTGCCATGAAATCAATGTACTCATTTGCGATTGCGCTTACTATTATGGCCTATAATATCATAATTACTTTTTGAAAATAGGACTTCAATCGTGGATCTTTCAGCATCTGAGACGTTTACACATTAGGACAAAAGGTGGCATAAAATTAATTATTTTTATAAATACGCAATATTATATTTTATATGATGCTTTGCTACATAAGCAACAAAAGTAGAAATCACTTATCATTTCATGAATTTAGAAAATAATTAACACTGTTGACTTTGAAATATCGATATGTGAGTGATTACAATTAGGCTGTTATTATATAGTGTCTGCAGCATATAAAATATAAATACATTTAATGTACATTTAAATGTTGCATGTATCACATTGTCATGTACCCTCAGAATAACTCTCATCATGACGTGCCAATTGTAATTGCAAGTGACTTATAATTTACAGACCTATAAAACATTAGTATTATTGGACTCATTCATTTTTCAAACTACCCCCTTTAGAGTTCAAATCAACCAATATATTTTCGGTTTACTTTTATTTATTTATTTATTCATTATTATTATTATTATTATTATTATTATTATTATTATTATTATTATTATTGTATTTTTTAACAATGACAACGTTTTGTCCTGATAAGAAAAAAATGCCTGAGTGTTGCGGGGGGATTCAGATACTAACGAAACTTTGGTTTTCCCTCGCTTCTATTCAGTTGCTTAAATTTTGACAAAGATTAATCAGCGCAGCCTTCTCAAATTGTGACGTTTCACTGGTAGTACAATGTGTTGTATTATCCACTTTCTCCCAGCAGGAGGCAATGTTGTAATTCACACATCAGGTTATGGGCTTCAAATAATGTTGTCAATTCAAATAAAAGTGTTGAAGGCGGTCACTGCCATCAGGCTGTCCAAAAATTGAATAGCTTTATCAAGATGTGTGATAAAATATATTTTTTGTTTTTGAATAAATGAGTGATTAAAAAAAATAAAACACACTTCGCAAAATATCTCATTAATCTCAGTATGCATTGTTCTTATCGGCCTAAAACAATTCTATACACTCTATAGCACAACTTCTTTTCCACTAATAAAATGAATAGATTGGAAAGCAACATTTTGTTTTTTAATTCATGTTTTAGTGCACTTTTCCGATTGTATAGCCTTTACAGCCTACCTTGAAAATAAGTAGTAAATTACGCTAAACATGCAGGATTTAAGAATTTAGAATATTCATTTTTATTTAAAACGATCATAACTGATTTTGTATTTAAAGCTCGTGGGGGATTATGGTTCGTGCACACTTAATGAAATGTGAAAATCCTTGTTTGTGAACGAAAATGCAGATAATGTCTGATAACGCGTTTTATTTACAGCCCAGCTCAGCTGCAGTCGACGACAAACCGTTAAAAAAATAAATAAATAAAGTAAAATGTCCCTCGAGGTGCAGGTTGGGGGTGATTTTTTCCTAATCCGTGGGCGGTGATCATTTTTGACTGAAGCTGTCTCGGTCCAATGAAGGAGCATGCGTTTCTGGAGAATCAAGGCAGAACTATGGAGCATGACGAAGAGCGGACACCAAGTTGCATGTTTTCTCTCGCCTTTTCATGGCACGCATGCTCTTTATTTTAACAACTGTCCGTTTTGTATTTGATCAACTCAAACGAACCACATTTCTGAATCCAATTTTTTTCCGCGTGCCAGTCAAAATCGGGTGAAAGCGAACTGACGATCCCACTGGCCTGCAGGGCCCAGTTTGACAGAACCGCGTGGCTGTACGTTCTGTCGTAAAAGTGGCAAAAATTGCACGTTCCGTGAATTGTACGCAAAAGACTGATCTAATAACAGCTGATTTGTCACATATTGCCTCCTCTCAAACCTCCAATAGGCATCTGCGATGAGCCGTGGAAGCCTCCACAACTCGCTGAGTGACTTTAAAAACTCCTGAAATGACTTTAATAATGGCTGAGAAAATCAATAGCTTCATTAACGCACACACACACACACACTATATATATATATAATAATATGCAGTATCCATAGTACAGCCTTTCAGCCTACGATTTAAATTAATACATCTCGGACGCTTAAAAAAAGATATCTGCTGTGTAGTGCAAAATGCCAAACAACTGAATGATGCCGGAGAGTTTTGGTGTCACTATCGTAAAAAAAAAAAAAAAAAAAAATAGTGAGTTCGAACAGCAAACTGTCTTTAACTCATGGTCTGCAATTTACGGTTCCACAATGCCTGCTTTCTCCTTTGTGGACCCCAACGTAATTAGTTTAACTATTTAGTTTTAGAAAAGCACTGATGATTCTAAACAATGACAGGACACGGTCGTTTGTTTGTGTTTTTTTGCTCATCAGTCGCCCCGGGCCATCGAGTTGTTACATTGCAGAGTGCATCCGTTTCAATGGATATTCTATACATTATACATTCATTTACGTGGTTATTCGCATAGTGTTATTGTTAATCGACCGGCGATTTTCTTCATCAAATGTTAGACTTTAAAGCATTGACGATTGGTAACACGTTTTCTTAAAACAATGCATGACCTGAATTTTGCATTTAACCGTCGGATTTAAAATTCTAATCTTAACCAGATCAGTTTCTAGGTAGACAAGCATGCAGGTGCATGTATTTAGACATTAAATTATTCATAACACGTACGGGTGGTCAGTGCCACTTTGTACAAACGACATGGACACATTCTCTTACCTTTTGGTTGCACGTAGCATAACTGTAGTTGTGGCTGCTTACAGGCCTTATGGTTCAACTTTAGCAAGCACTTGTGTTTCCCACACCTGCTGGTGCTGCTGCTACATGTTTTTTTTTCCTCCCTCCTGTCTTGTTTAAAGTGAGCGTGGGCTTTCCAAGCAGGGGCTCATTAAAACATGATTGATTTATTGAATTCATGATCCCGTTCACACAGTGACCCCGCAGAGTTGAATGGCTGTGAGTGTATTGATTGAAATGTATTGATAATGCTCATAGTGCTGTTCAGTGGCACCATAATCTAATAAAGTGGTAAGGTTGGAATCGATCCCCGACTGACAAAAATTTCGGAAATAAGGGAGTCGACTTTATGACTGCCGGGTGGCCCAATTTTGGAGAGGCATCTGCGCCCTACATCGAAACCATTAACGCTTCCACGTTCTTATTAAATCATTCCAGAATCTTAATGCGTTTCGCCTCATTTCAGTCCTGCAATTCTCGTGGCGAACAGCAGAGAGCGCGCCCACCAATCAGCTCCATTTTCTCAAGTGTGCTGCAGGTCACCGCCAGGATGCCCCACAAAGGCCTCGAAAAATGCAACACACACTGAATGTGACCTGCTTCCTCACAAAGGCTTATTGTGTGCATTCGGTTATTATTATTGTTGTCATTATTATTATTATTATTATTATTATTATTATTATTATTGTTGATGATAGTAGTCCTAGTAGTAATGTTTGCTATATTCGTCCAACAGAAACTGAAATGTTGCATTGTATGCCATATCGTGATTTTGTCTTTATCCTGCTTGTTCACAAAGGCTTGTCTAATTCGTAGTTTATTGTGTGCATTCGGTTATTATTATTATTGTTATTATTATTATTATTATTATTATTGTTGTTGTTGTTGTTGTTGTTGATAGTAGTCCTAGTAGTAATGTTTGTTCTATTAGTCCGACAGCAACCGAAATATTGCATTGTATGCCATACCGTGATTTTGTCTTTAAAGCAATAAACGGTGTTTGCAAAAACAAACAATTAAATGATCTGTATAATAATCACAATCAGACCCGTAATTTTAGGTTTCTTTCCAGACGTGCATTTTTCTTCTAGAAACGGAAATCGACGCCGATCATTTTTACCTTTAATGTTATTGTCGGAGCCACTGACCTGCATGTGCTTGACGTGTTGTGGATAAAATGTATTTACGTAATTTAAATACTTTATTCACTCCGTGTGTTGACAGTACCACTGTGTTTAATTTGTAACGAGTAAAACAACGTGTAATGAGCCGAGTATCTATTAGCTTTTTATGTTTTGTTATAAATGATTTGCTTCTTGTCTATATTATTATTATTATTATCATTAGCATTATTATTATTATTTAGGCATGTTTGCTTTTTGTTGGTCAGCCAAGGCTTCATCTTCCTGTTATCACCTCTGATCACCAGGTGCATCCGCTGAAAGGAGACAGCAGCTTCCAGTGGAAACAAGCCACAAAAAAGGCGAAGAAACCATCTCTCTCACACACGCGCCCTATCAGTATAAATTACACACGAGGTCTTTTGTGACGTTATTTTCTATTGTACTAATATTTAAGTTATTTCTTGATTTTTTTTTTATTTTTTTTATTCTTGTTTTATTTTAAAACGTGAGTTTAGGTAATGACAACGATCTGTTGTCATGCGGACCATTATTATGTGTATTATTGTTGTGTGTTGCAGTTTGGCTGCGTGGATTCAATGCACTGTGCTCCAATAGCATCCCAATGCCTATGAGCGGGGAGTGAAAAAAGTGCAGCCATCCGTGCACGAGTGGGAGGTTCCATCCACTCGCTTCAATCACGACGTGAGACTTGAACAGCGACACGAACACTAGCGAGCAAGGAAGCAAGCTCCTGCATGAGTTGGTGCCGGGACATCTCCACTCCGCTGTCTTTGGACCTCGTTGTCAGCTGTCTTCTCCTTGGACGAACTCTGATTGGACTCTCAAATCAGTTCCGACGCACTCGGCTCTCCAGCAACACGTAAACGCGTCCTCCTTTCTGATTTTCACAGGTGACAGCGAGCGCTCGTACTTTTTGTGTTCATTTTCTGTCTGTGTCGTATCTCCACACGACCAACGTGGCTGTTTATTTGTCTCTCAAAGTCGTGCTTTTGGCGGCTCAACAGGTTCCGATCACGGCCGCTTTGTGACTCGAGTTGTCGGACAATATTCTCTGCTCTGACTGCGCCCGTGTGTGAGTGTGTTCGTATACGTGCGAGCGTACGTGATTGTGTTCTTATGGATCTTGCAACAGGTCCTGTGTCATTGGAACGATTTACCGTGAGGGAACAATTGGAGACGTGCATCATGTTGGACGGCATAAAAATAGAAGAGCATCCGCTGCGATCGGGACAAGCGCTGGGTGTCATGCTCGGTAAGTCAGGATATAAAAAAATAAACACAAAATGCAATCAAATCAAAAATAATCGCACGACATTACCGCTTGTGCACGTGCAATTAAGAGACAATTTTGTTTTGATTTGCGTTCTTTTAATTGGATGGTTGAGTGAAACCCTTGGGCCTTAAAAAAAAAATTAAGACCCGCTGTGCTTGTATGCACGTGCAATTGGATGCGCCGACGAGGATTTTTCTTTGATTTTCAGGGACAGACTGTCACCACCAGGCCGTGTGTGAAGGCTGCCACCGTCCCATCTCTGACCGCTTCTTGATGAGGGTCAACGAGTCGTCGTGGCACGAGGAGTGTTTGCAGTGCACTGTGTGTCAACAGCCTCTCATCACCAGCTGCTACTTCAGAGAAAGGAAACTTTACTGCAAGCACGACTATCAACAGTAAGAACTGCTTTTTCTCTTCGATTTGTCTTATTTTTCTTCTCGTCTGAGCGCGTTGTGAGGATGCTTGGTGATGATTTGGCCTGCTCGCAAGTCATCATATGTTGGACTACACGCTTTCGGGAATTGTGCTAAACCATGTTTGACATTTTAGTCGATGTATTCTAATTATTATTTAAATAAAACTATTTTCGGAAGTACTGCGCAGTCCGAGAAATTTACAAAACGCTTGCAATTGTGTATTCTAAATTAGAATGTATTTCAGACATGTAAATATCTATTATTATTATTATTGTTATTATTAAATTATTATTATTATTATTATTATTACAAAAATATCATCATCATCATACACTGGCCAAAAAATATGCAGGTGCCTCTTGGTTTCCGAGATGATGCTGTTTCCGATAAAGAAAGTTTTATTTGCGTCTATAAAACCAGAAATTTACTTTCATTGTCCCCATTAATATGTACTGTCATTTCAAGTCGGTAATGGCATGAATCGCAGTAGTTATTTTACGTTTGCATAAACGTGTTTCGCGTGGCTTTTAAAAAACAATTATACAATAAATATTTCTTCATCCGTTTCAACATGCTGCGCACAAGAAATTCACCTGTGTCATTTCGTGGTTTATCCGATGCCGATTATGAATTGTCAACCCGCTTACACGGTTTTCTTGGTTCAATGGAATTCGAGTGTCGTGCACGTGCGCCACTCACTAACACGCGAACATAAGCGTCATAATTGGACAGGGTCGTACGCATAACTTGACGGTGTTCCCTAATTAATATATATATATATATGTATATATACAGATATAAAACACACGTGCACGCACGCACACACACACTCACACACACACACACACACACACTCACACGCACGCACACACACACGCACGCACACACACGCACTTCCCTGGATTATCACATAACATTGAGGGCAATATGCGCAGTTTAGCAACAGATTTAACAGTGCTTTTTGGGCCTTGAGGACCCCCGGGTGCTCTGTGTTTCTCATTGCATGGGTGCTTTTCATGCTTGTCATCAAATGTTCAGCTTTTTGTCTGCGGCCTTTTTAACAATTCAACTTCCATTACTGGGACATGGTGGCTCCCTGCTAGACATCTTGCAAACAACAAAGAGTTACATCCATCGCTGTGTGTGCCATTCACGCAGCTTTGTGACAGTGTAGTTGCAGGGTAACAATGGGGGTAAAAATCATAGCAGTAACTCCGGGATACCAGAGTCATGGCGTCAAGGCTCAGAAATGGTGGAAGCTGAAAGAGAGAGAGAGAAAGAGAGAGAGAGAGAGAGGCCATTCACGCAGCTTTGT